ATTTTTATTTACAGGCAAAAACAGTCAAAAAATTTCAAAATTTAAGGTTAATATCCACGGTTTTTGAGAAATTTTAGAGGTTTTGAGGCCATGTATCCAAAATCCTTGAGATTTTAGAGGATACATCTCGGGGTCATATAATTTCGTTTGGAACTATATATGATCATTATATGTTGTCATAGATGTTCGTGGTAGGCTTGAGTTAATGAAATCGGTGCAAGTTGTAAACCGGTAAATTGGTCGTTCAAAGGCAAATTGGATGGTTCCACCCGGCCAAATGGAATCTCGGAAGGTATTAGGGACCATGGTAAACATTTTGGAAATTTTTATTTCCAAGCGAAAAAAACTCAAAAAATTCCAAAATTGAAGACTAATATCCACGCATTTTGCGAAATTTTGAAGGTTTTAAGACTTCGTGTCGAAAAGTCTTGAAATTCCATGGAATACATCTCGGTATCATATAATGCCTTTTGGAACCATATATGATTATTATATGTTGTCATAAATGTTCGTAGTACGTAGGCTTGAGTTAACGAAATCGGTGCAAGTTGTAAATCGGTAAAATTTTCGTTTAAAGGCAAATTAGATGGTTTTACCCACCCAATGAGACTTACGGACGGTATTAGGGACCATGAAAAATATTTCGTCAATATTTATTTCCACGCGAAAAAAGTAAAAAAATTCCAAAATATTTCGTTTTTTGAGAAATTTTGGAGGCTTCGGGGCCCGTTGTCGAAAAGCCTTAAGATTTAGGGGATACATCTCGGGATCATATAATGTCGTTTGGAACCATATATGATCATTATATGTTGTCATAAATGTTCGTAGTAGGCTTGAATTAATGAAATCGGTGCAAGTTGTAAATCGGTTAATTGGTCGTTCAAAGGCAAATTGGATGGTTCCACCTACCCAATTGGACTCCAAGAGGGTATTATGGACCATGATAAACATTTAGGCAATTTATATTTACGGGCAAAAAAAGTCAAAAAATTCAAAAATTGAAGACTAATATACATGTTTTTTTAGAAATTTCGAAGGTTTCGGGGCCCGATGTCGAAAAATAAAGAGATTTTAGGGGATATATCTCGGGGTCATATAATGCCGTTTGGAACCATAAATGATCATTATATGTTGTCATAAATGTTCGTGGTAGGCTTGAGTTAATAAAATTGGTGCAAGTTGTAAATCGGTAAATTGGCCGTTTAAAGACAAATTGTATGGTTCCACCCACCCAATTGGGACTCTCGGAGGGTATTAGGGACCGTAGTAAACATTTCGGATATTTTTATTTCCGGACGGAAAAAAGGCAAAAAATTTGAAAATTGAAGGCTATTATCCACGTTTTTTGAGAAATTTTGGAGGTTTCGGGGTCAGGTGTCGAAAAAGCTTTAGATTTTAGGAGATACCTCTCAGGGTCATATAATGTCGTTTGGAACCATATATGATCATTATATGTCTTCATAAATGTTCGTGGTATGCTTGAATTAATGAAATCGGTGCAAGTTTTAAATCGGCGAATTGGTCTTTTGTAGTCAAATTGGATGGTTTCACCCACCCAATTGGACTCCCGGAGGGTATTTGGGACCATGTCAAACATTTCAGCAATTTTTATATCAGGCAAAAAAAGTAAAAAAATTCCATAATTGAAGGCTAATATCCACGTTTTTTGACAAAATTTCAAATTTTTCGGGGCTCGGTGTCATAAAGCATTGAGATTTTAGGGGATACATCTCGGGGTCATATAATGTCGTTTAGATCCATATATGATCATTTTATATTGTCATAAATGTTCGTGGTGAGTTTGAGTTAATGAAATCGGTGCAAGTTATAAACCGGTAAATTGGTCGTTGAAAGGTAAATTGGATGGTTCCACCCAGCCAATTGGACTCCCAGAGGGTATTAGGGATCATGGTAAACATTTCGGCAATTTTTTTTTTGGGTGAAAAAAGTCCAAAAATTCCAAAATTGAAGGCTAATATCCACGCTTGTTTAAAAATTTTGGAGGTTTCGGGTAGAGTAGTCAATTCGGGTAATCGGGTCGGGTTGGGTTGGGGTCGGTAAGGGTGGATCGGGTCAATTCGGATTAATTCCATAACCTATGCGGGTCGGGTTTGGGTTGGGTCATGCTTGAGTCGGGTCACATCGGGTCATAGTTCTTATCGGGTTTGGGTCGGGTTACATTCAGGTCGGGTGAACAATATGTCGGGTTTAATTGGGGTTTTCACGGGTTAGGGTGATTCTCGGGTTCGAGTCGGGTTCAGTTCAAGTCAATAATTTGCGGGTTAGAATCAGGTCGGGTCATTCTCGGGTTTGAGTCGAGTTCGGTTTAAGTCAGTAATTTGCGGGTTATAATCAAGTCGGGTCATTCTCGGGTTCAAGTCGGGTTCGGTTCAAGTCAATAATTTGCGGGTTATAATCAGGTTGGGTCGTTTCCAAGTCGGGTCATTCTCGGAGTCAAGTCGAGTTATGTTCAAGCCAATAATTTGCATACAATAATCAGGTCGGGTCATTTTCAAGTCAGGTCATATATTCGGGTTCAACTAACTATAAATAGATAATATCATTTTTAATTTTTTATCGAGCTAATTATTTCCTTAGACTATAATATATATGGCAATATACTAGGGAACTATATTTTACGAAGTATAATTTAGGAAGATAATTATCTCCTTTGACCATACGACAAATATATACTATATTTAACTCTTAAATTTGAGGATGATGCTCCTTTCTTTTGCTGGCTTGGACCGACTTGGTCTCCCTAGACAAAATGCTTTGATCAACAATAATAAGGTGGTTTAAATTGTATTTAAGTTGATTTGAAATCGGATCAAGATCAATTTGAGTTGAATTTAGGTAGGGTTAATAACAAGTCGTGTTGATTTTGAGTCGGGTCAGTAACAGATCGGGTTGAATTTTTGGGTCGGGTTAGTAATATGTCTGGTAAAATTCGGGTCCGGTAAATAACAAGTCGGGGTGAATTTGGGTCAGGTCAATAACAAGTTGGGTTAATTTTGGGTCGGGTTTGTAACAGGTCGGGTTAGGAACGGGTCGGGTTGAATTCAGGTCGGGTTAGGAACGGGTCGGGTTGAATTCAGGTCGGGTTAGGAACGGGTCGGGTTGAATTCAGGTTAGGTTAGTAACAAGTCGAGTTAATTTCGGGTTTTGACGGGTTAAAACATGTTTGGGTCAATTTCGGTTCAAGTCGGGTTCTGTTCAGGTCAATAATTTACGGGTTACATTCGGGTCGGGTCATCTCCAGGTCAGTTCAGTTTCGGGTTTGGGGTCTCACATACTCGGGTCAACTCGGGTGTAGGGTTGGTTTCAGGTCGGGTTTGGGTTACCATTTTTTCGGGTTCAAATGAGTCGGTTAATGAGTCGATATTTCGGGTCGGATCAACTTTTGACAACTCTAGTCACGTTGGGGCGAAACCAAAAATTGTTTATTAAGGAGGCCAAACTTAATATATATAGTATTATAAAAAAAATAAATAAAAAAACATCTACGTGATGCAATTATATGAAAATGAAAATTTAATGCTTGGAGTAGTAGTATAACCTTTATAAAAGAAATAGTATAATTGGTACAAGTATTGCAAAATAAAATAAAAAATAAAGTCAAAAAGCGCAAAGTAATGAAAGTGTAGGGAGTAGTTTCGAACTTGGGATGGAGAATAGATCTCATTACCAACTAAAATTAACTGAGCTAAGTTGAATTAACATAATAATAGAAACAGATAATCTCAATCAAGGGGGAGGCCAAGGTCCACGTTGGCATCAATTATTTGCTTGAGGTTGCACGAGGACAAGGGTTGGTAAGCAAGGAAAGGCCAGAGATGTGAACAAAGATAAATAACTAGATGATGTTCGAATTATGCTCGGTTTTTAAACTTAATACGGAAAAGTAATTTAGAAGTATGAGAGAGAGAGAGAGAGAGAGAGAAAGAGAGAGAGAGAGAGAGAGTACATAGAAAAGATATTTAAATGCAAATGGGATGATTTTTTTAGGACTAAAATTTGGCTAAAAAACTCTTTCTTTTAGAGACGGAAAAAATATTAAAAAGTAAGGGTCTGTTCCGATAAACTGAGCTAAAATGAAATGAACTGATTAGAGCTAAACGGAACAGAATTGAATAGAGCTGAAATGAATTGTTTATGAGAGAGGAAAATTAGGAACTGAATTGATTGGAGCTATACTAAACTAAGTTTAAATTTAAGGCCTGTTCTTTTCAGCTTATTTTCAGTCCAGTTCAATTCAGCTCAATAAGTTCAGTTCAATTCTTATCTTAATTTCCTTCTCTCATAAAATATTCAGTTCAGTTCAACTTAGTTCCAATAAGTTCTATTCAGTACAATTCAGTTTAGTTCAGCTCATTTCAGTTAATTAAAACACGCCTTTAAAACATGACTTAAATTATCTTCTATTTATGAAAAATCATACTTGCATTTGATACCTTAAAAAGTTAAAATAACCACTTTTTTTTTTTAAAAAAAAGTTTGTGAGGCGGGAAAATGAAAAGGCAGAAGAAGCCTTTATAGTAGTAAACCTAGCATTTTCCTCATCTTTAGTGAGCTCCATTAAAGTGGCCTACTGTTGAAAATCGCCCCTCAAAAGCTTCAAGACTTTGATTATTCTAGGCTCCATAAGGTACATTCTTTTTCCTCTTTAATTCTAGTTGTTCATTTTATTTTTCACTCAATTATGGTGTTTATTGATTTGAAAAAGTTATTTCTTTTTTTTAAAAAAATGTTTTTTATTTGTAATTTTTATGGAATCTATGTCTAGTATGCGTGTGAAACATGATTTTGTGACCTGATCATCGTTAGATTATTGTAGTTCCTAGGGTTTATAAATCAAATTGGGTTAGGGTTTTGGTTAAAACAGGGGGTTTCTTTGAAAACGTTTAAAGGACCCTCACTAATTCATGTATGGTCTGGAAATTCTATATATTTTGGAAAAAAAATTAGAAATGAATTTGCAATTTCAAAGCTTGTTTTTTTTTTTTTTTTTTTTTTTTTTTTTTTTTTTTTTCTAGGATTAATGATGCAGAAGCTGTTGAACATAAAGCATAATTTATTTATAAATGTAATTTTAATTTTATTTTGAACTCCTATGGTTACTTCATTTGTAATTGGAAAAAAAAAAAATCAGAACTTCAGTACCTTGCCTTATAAATGTCTGAATATGTAATGGACCATCTCAACCAAAAGTAAACCGATCCCGGGCTTCTAATTATTTTATATACTCTAGGCTACAGGATCGGTTTATATACTCTATTGGAATATATCATTTCCCTTTTTTTACTAGTAATTTTTTATATGTATTTATTTAGAAACCGGTTACAGAAGTCAATTTGGCCTGGTAACCTGTTTCAGTACCTTCCCTGCAACAAAACAAAGTTCAGTCCTTTCCCTGTAACTTTTAGGAAACTTCAATACTCTCCATTACAATTAACTCCTTATATATTAAAAAAATGGTATAATCGTTGCATATAATATAAAATGGAGGTAGTAGAAACTTTTCGATTTTCAACTATCGAGTTTTCAATTTCATTTCATGCCTTTATGTTTTTTATTTATTATGTAATATGGTAAATAAGGCTTTTTTTTAGAGCCTAACCTATTATAACAAGCTTTTATGTAACTTTGGAAGACAGGAATCAGATAATGAATTAAAAATTCCATATTCAAGCCGTTCTTGTCTATTCCTCCTCGCAGCATCTGCCTTCCTCTCTTGCAGGCATTTATCGAAAGATACGATCACAGTTCAGATTCATTTATCATAGATAAACAGGCCTTGCAATTTTGTGGCAAAGAAGTTGAGTCCTGTCTAAGAATAGCGAACAAGGGAAAACTTATTGATTTTACAACTCAGGTTAGGAAAACTCCTGAGATTTTTGAGCGTTATTTTGGAATAAAGGGAAAGATATTGAAAGAAGATTTGATGGAGAAGCTGAAGCACATGAATGTGAAAAAGGATAACGCCGATGACTTCTTTAGGTTGTCTGTTTATTTTATGTTTAGTGTGTACTTCAGTACAAATGATACTTGCATATCATTTTGGCCTGTGAGGTATTTGGAGAGCCTGGAGCTCTTTAAATCTTTCAATTGGGCGCGTGCCATCTACGAGTATTTGAGGGAGTCAGTAAGAAAAACTGCATATGGACTTGCAGAAGATGTTACTACTGTCATATCTATGAAGGGGTGTCTTCCTCTCTTAGAGGTAATCGCATATCAAACTTCTTGCTACACAGTATCACTCTATATTCTGCAATTATAGTCACTGTTTATTGACTTGCATATATAAACTCATATCTTGATCATTTTTTGTGCTCTAGACATTGATATACGGGCGCATTGGGAGTCCTTACTTGAAAATGGAAGTTGATCCGAAAATGTTTACAAAACCTTGTATCATCATGTACACTAAGGGTGACTCTAGGAACCCCTGTACACTAAGGAGGGTGCTTGCTACTATAAAATTTGACAAGGTACAACTTTCCTAATGGATAGAATCATCCATTTACACTAACTTGTTTTAACTAAATCCTTAATTCTTCTTGCTATTTACAGATCAAAGAATGTGAAGATTGTTCAATAGAGGAAGCCACTTCCCCTGAGAGTGTAGATGCCAGTGGATTGTGACGCGTTCTAAGAAGAAATGCATCCTCATTGTTTTATCAAGTTAGAAGGCACACCAGGCCAAGAAGCTTATTTCTTGAGATGAATACTGAAGTCAGCCATATGCCATGATTTTGAGCCATGTATTGCAGGTATTCTTGACTTGACCAACTAACGCGACTCATTTGTATATTTGTAGTGTTACGATTTAGGAAGTGTATGAGTATGTATTGCTTTCCTGAGTCATCATTGTCAACGTCTCACTTGGTTTGTATATATTATACGGTATACTATATGGTACATAATTCTAATTTATGCATATCAGTGAAGTAGGTAAGCATATGCATTTAGCTGATCAAGTAGTTTCCAAGGTAGCAAATTTAGATTATTTGTTAAATTATTTTCGCGACAAGCATATGTACTTGTACTTAAAATTCATCATACTGCTAGAATATTTGTTAGATTAATTTTCGTGACAAGCATCGGTGATGATTATGTTTATGTCAATCATTTGTATTTCTCCCATGGCGTTTCCTGCTTTTTTAGGGAGGAAAGGAAGAAGAGAGTAAGAAACTAATTGGGGTTACGTTGCTAATGAGTTTTGGATCATAATAATAAATAATAATCCAAGGAACTATGAAAGGAAGAGATCATTTGTTTAGTTGGCTTTTGGATCATAAATTCATGATAATGAAAGGAAGAGAGCATACAATCCTTCACTTGAATCCAAGATTACTAAAAGCTGGATTGAACTTTTTTTGTTTTTTTTTTTTTTTTGGGTAAAAACAATTGAATTTTTTTACTACTCCGTATGTTTTTCAACTTGGTTTCTAATTTGATCCAATTTGGCTTAAACTACGTATTGTATATTGAAATACAGCTTATACGAACATATAACACTTATAATATGTCGCTATTGATTTTAGACGGAGAGAATTTAAAATTAGGGGTGATAAATGCTGTTAAATAAGCATTTATTTACTCTTATTTAGAATTCCGTCAAAAAAAAAAAAAAAAAAAAACTGAAAATGAAAAATATTACTCCCTGTATTATGTGATTAAATGTTTGTTATTTGAACGAACTTGAAAATAAACTAGTAGTAGAATATACAGAGTTTTATTGATCCAAAAGTAGAGCAACAATTTAAGATATAAGTACAAAATAGCTTAAGCTAAGACACTCTCAAACAAGTGAAAAGAAAATTACAAAAGACTGAAGCAGTCCAATTAATTTATCTTCTAAGCGCTAACACAATCCATAACCATAGACAGACTGGAGTCAGAACAAAGAGAAGTGGGCATCTTCACATACATGGCCTGAACCCATTTAGGCTGAGCCGTTTCAATTTGAGTCTTGTTTTCCGAAGCCGAGGTCGAGGCCGAAGAAGGTGGTGGGTTGGAAGGCTTGGCTTGATTCTGTTCCTGCATCTTGGCAGCCTCACTGCTCCAGATATCAACTAGTGCAGACATTATATTATTATGCAACCTAAAAATAAAAGTTGAGTTTTTGTGTTGATTTTTCAAGGTTTATGCTGATTGCTATGATTCTAGTTATGAAAAGAAATTTGAGGTCTTGGAGACAATTTATAGGAGAAGATCAAGGGAGATTTCATTAAGTGAGGCGGTATGTTTTTCGGCATATAAAAGTTATAAACTGTGGTCTGTTGATTGGAGTAATAAACTATGTTTAGTGTCACTGTCTGGAATCTGGATTATGATATGCTGCTACAGTGGGCGGTAACCCAAGGTTTTATGTTGCTGTTTTAGTGACTAAACTAGCACCTGTTATATGTCGTATTTTTTATTTTCTTCAGTCTAAGACTCTAGAGAGTTCATTATACTCAGCACTTAAATAAAGTTTCCTTAATATCAATTTATTTATTTATTTACAATATTCAATCAAAAATATTCATGGTTAAAGTTTGTGCTTTTACAAGACAAAAAATCAAAATAATGCATGGATGGTGAACAAAGGAAGATACAGTCTGAATCCAATACATCTACAATTATCAGATGATTCTACCAAAATAAAATATTCAATACACAACCGAATTTTCAAGCCAAGGCAACTCGAATTTTTCAGGTAAAAACCAAACTCAAACTTGAAAGGCTTGTAACTGGTAAAAAACTTCCAATTCACTTCTCAAGTGTAAATTTGTGTTTTGATTACCTCCTAATAAGACCCTACTATAACCACTGTCATAGAAACCATATCAAATGGTAGTTAGAATCCTAATCATAATACACGAACATATATTAACAGAAACATCCAGCCTCCACTTACCAAGCTGCTTCGATAATTATTTAAGGCAAATTTGTGACATTAACTTGGACAGTTGGAATTACCATGATTTGCAGTCAAAGAGGGCAGAGGGGTTGTTGCAGACAGAATTTAGGAAAGCAAAGCAAAAGAATCGGGTATTCTGCTTCTGCTTCTGCTTCATAATCTTCAAGGTGGTTGCTGCATAAAGGCGTTTTTCCATCAGCAACAAACTATTTCCCAAACTGCACAAACCACATGCAGTAACTGTGACCTCCCAAGCTCATTTCCTAGAGTTTCTTAACAGGAAGCATATTAGGATCACAGGAAGCAAGTTTTGAACTACTCCCCACGAGATTTTAAGCATATTGTGACTTAAAAGGCCATGGCACTGCCGTTGAGGCTCTGATCAGTGATCACAGAAGAATATTAAGTGTCATTTTCTCTCATTCCAAAAAGTTTTGGCATGTTTCTGTGGTGCAATGGAGTTGATCAGCTCATACAGCGCCACATCCACAGAGTCTAGTCAGCAAAAGCTGAGGTATATGTCCTTATGCCTTTTCCAACAGGATCAGAGGTCCACTAACCCAAATAAACAGCACAATCGGCATCTCCCCAAATAGACCTGCATGGTTCTTTTCGGTCACATATTGAGGTGGAGTTGCAGGCTTCATCCAAAACTGCTCATGCTGAAGGCCTGCCTCACCACAATTATTACAACCAGATGCTAAAGAGCTGCCATATGTGGGTGTACATTGCAGAACCCATCACGGGAGCATCTTTCTTACAAACTCATATCCATGCTGTCCAACCTTCATACATGTTGCAGAGATTATCTGCACTAGTAGCTTGCTTCAGCAGATAATCTACCTGTTCTCCAATACTTAATTCTCTGGAATATATTCATAAGATGGGTCAAGGTCAAAATAGATCCTGTGCACAAGCTTTAAAAGTGTGAAAAAAAAAGCAGGTACCTGGTTTCAGAAATATCTCGGCCGTCTAATTTCACCTCAATACGCCTTAAGACTGACATAGCAAAAGCGTTTTTACCTACAAATACCAAACAGGACAGGAAATTATTACAGCTTTGGTTCATTCTGGAGCAAAACTAGTCAATTGTGCTTTACAAATATGGAATCGATCCTAACTATAAGACAATAAAATGGCTCAAGGTAAGAGCAAATCTTTTCTGTCTCAATAATACATTTAAAAATATTAATGCAATATTAAGTGCTACTTTACACTATCAATGCAAGATTATAGGCTGTTAATATTATCAAAAAAATATTCATTATCAAGTTACATTATAACAGAAGTTTACATAAATTTGCAAAAAAGTGGTTATCATCCTACACTTTAATACATCAACTAAAAAATCCCCTTTTTTCTCAGGGAGGTATATTGAGGCCATGAGGGAAGAAGATAGTACTTTCAAGCTCTAGTTTATATAAGGAGTTAAATTGAAGTGATGGGAGGTGGTAATAATAATAATAAACAATTTTGAAAATTTAAGAAGGAAAAACACCCACTTGAATTAAAGATGCATTATCACGAACACTCATAAGGCCATTGCACGCCAAATTTAACACAAACTCACACCATCAGTCCATCACCATAATTTATGACTTTGTGCCAAATAGACAGTCAATGTATTCTCACACTACACCATGAGGAGTTTTAAACATTGTGGAATTTATTAAAAAAATACGACTAGAGCAATTTGTAAATCTGGCATTCCCTTTCCTCACAACCCAAAAAAGACACACGTAGCATGTAATGGTCCAAAGGGGAAACATATGTTGGTTTAACTTCAACCAATGTTCTCCACTTAACAGGGATTTATTAGGTTAATGAATCCCATCAGCTAGCTTTTGTTGTTTATGTTACATGACATAGTCTGTATATATCTACACTTGATTTTTGTTCTTCCAAAGTGCCTAAAAATGAATCCTCCAGTCTAATTATAGTCGATGTAAATGCAGCCATAGAAATTATTAAAAATTACACGTTATCATTCAAAGTAAAGCTATGATTTAATTCACCATATTTTTGCTTATATGATCTGATCTGATTTTTTTTATTTTTTTTAATCTAATCTGCACTTATTTTTCCTGATCACATTTGATTATCTGATTTGACCAAATTTTGACCTTATTTGTACGCTAATATATAAGGTAAAAACCTATCAAAAGGGTCTTATTAAGGAAAAAAACCTATCAAATGGGGTCTCTAATTTTCTTAATTTTTTCATCATGGAATTAGAAATATTTAGCAATAAAATTATTATTATGTAATTTTCTAAATTTTTTCATTACGGAATTAACAATATTTTTAGCAATAAAAAATGCATATAAAATGATAAAAGTATGTTATAAACTCATTTATTTATATCTGATTTGAAGTTATCATTTTTGATCTAATCTGAAATGAGGTCCTTGAATAAGTGAACTAGACATAGCCTAAATGCAGTAAAACAATTTATTCTTACCCTTAATTGCTCGAACAACATCCTTTTTAATTCGATCATTTTGACTGTCATCTCCAGCTTCAACTTGCTTTGATGAGGTTGCATCATCTTTTCCATCGATATTCATGTCCAAATCTTTAGGAGCATTAGGCTGTATATCCAAAGAAAAACCAGTGCTATCTCCTTTGGCCTCCATGTCATTTGACATCACAGCAAGCAAGATATCCTGTTGATCAGTTTTAGTGAATAGAAATTGTTCCTTTTGATCTCCATCCTCTTTGTTGTTGGAGTTAAGCGAAAGACGCTCCACAGATTCTTGAAGACTAAATCCATTGGAAGGACTGATTTCATCTGAAATACTTTCCCCACCAGAGCTGCTACTATATATGCTATCTGGAGGAGATATCCATCCTTTATCTTCAGCAGACAAATAATTGACAGCAATCAAACCTTCATCCTCTCCTTCAGGTTCTCCGATTATTTCTCCTTCCACGCCATCATATTCAGTATAACTTTGAATGAGGTCTTCCCTTGACAAATTCGTTTCTTGTGACCTATCTTCCAGGGTAGCTTCTACACCTTCAACGGCCTATAGATAAAACAGATAAAAATTTAAAACATATAGAACAACTCCAGTCAAGCATGAAAACAGAATTTAAAAAATGGCATTACCTTATGCAGCTTAGCAGCATGGAGGCTTGCAGAGTGAGCAAGCTTAGTCAGGGAAGAATACAGTTCCTTCACAGAAGATACTAGAGATGGTACCAGGGGCTTGAAAGCCTGGAAAGCCTCCTTAATCCTTGGATAATAGGATTGATATATAGCTTGCCCATGAATAGGAGATATCTCCATTTTGGTTTCCCTTTCCTTTGTCATAGCATCAGTCATTGCAGCTACATCCTTGGACAATACTGACTCAAGTGGAAAGATTATCTCACTTGCCTGACATAACTCAGCAAATCAGTATAAAGAGGTAATGGTGAAAAAAGAAACTTAATTAGAGGAAGGCTAACGTGAATTCCCTAAAAAAAAAAAAAGGATAACATATACAGTATCAAAGTTTCAATAACAGCAAGGTGATGGAACCACAACCCAGTCATATAATTTATAAATAGATTATTATTAAGAAAATAAAAAAATAAGGAAATGAAAACCCTAGACATTGTTTATGAGAAATCACCTTTGCTATGGATTCCATAAGGGAACGATGCATTGCTGCAGCCTCTTTTCCCAAGTTATGCACATCATGAAGACCATCGCTTATAGCTAGCACCTATAATGTCAAACAAAG